CTGACGAGTGCCATGGAGCACGAAAGTCCAGGGTTTCCTGTCGACTACCTCCAACCACCATCTAATAGTCGCTAGAATTCCAGACAGGAAAATCCATGAACTGATTGTAAAAATTGCATTATTGTACAAGTATGATGTTTCAGCATTGTAGTCTATAACTTTATCTGAATAAACTCGAAAGAGATTATTAATTGAATTGACAATTATCCATGAATAATTAATCGGCACCCTGTTATTTATCATAATAGACTTAAGTATTAAATTGTCATTATCATTATTGAAATTAATTGTTTATCTTTACGAAATTGTAAAGCTTTTTTTTTGGACAAATCAATTTAATTGAGAATACGTGGACTATTCTTACCACCGATTGGTTTCATTTTAGGTACCAATGAAAACCAGTGGGTATTGGATAGCTGGTTCATTCTAGTCTAGTACTATTCAATAGTATACAACCACCAGACCATTATGGATTGAATGTAGGATCTTCATGTTTGATAATCTAGATTTCATGAAGTAAGAAATGAGTAAAGATGTTTTCTAATAGCTAGTAGAAAGTTATAGATATTGTATCAAGTAAAAGATGAGTGATCAAGACAACTGATTTAATACAGGATTAAATTTTGCCTCATTCGAGTATAACTAATTCTTATGCACAAAAACTATACTTCTTTATAAAGTATGTGCTGATGTTATTCAGAACAATGAAAGCTTTATTGACAATCCATTCAGATCATAGATTATAATCACTTCAACATACTCATTTTGAGCTACATTCACAATCACTTTCTTCTAGTATAATTTCAGTGAAGAATTATAAACCTATAAATCAGTAAATAAATATTTATTGATTGAATCAATCAGCTATATTTCAAGCTAATTCTATGCTCATTCTGTATGTTCTTCTCATCATCCGCTTCATTTTGTATACTTTATTATATTACTTACTAATGTTCAGTAACTAATCCACTACTAGCACCTAGAGTGAAATGTTTCACCGTTATCGTGTCTGACATTCATAATCTCTTAACTGTTGATCTTTACTTCCTGTACGTGCATTCAATACTTGTCTATTTGTAACAATTTCCGTAATTTGTATGCATAATTTTCATTTTTTATTTATCAGATATCACTGTTGAGCCGATACAACTATGGGATTTCATAGAGATTATTGTATGTATCCAAAAAGGATTTGATGGAGATTGTAGTAATTTCAATAGTTGAGATCATGCTTCAATTGAAGTTAGACCACCACTGTATGTGTATGTAGATAAACCTGGTATAATTATCGTCGAGAAAATCCCTTTTTCTGATTATAATTTCGCACATGTGATCACATTAGATATCTCTTAAACTAAATTGTGTAAAATGCATTGCTTATGTTGTCACTTACAATAATACCATCTTTATGTTGGATTATTAACAAGACTCAGTGGTTTAGTTTGAAACCTTAGATGAATTTAACACCATGTTGGGAAAGTAAGATATACATTGGAAAACACCATACTTTATCAAAACAGGCATATCATACCTTATTGAATGAGTCAAAAAAACCATCAAGGAATACCATAGATATTCATGCAGTTTATTCAAGTATAAAATAACCGACTTGTTCATATAAGAGCTTTAAAGAATGACTACAGTATATAGATCCTTGAGATAACCAAGTCTTTTAACTTCATCATGGATGTATTTGTGACAAAACGTTTGAGAACAGCTATCGAATGTTGTTTTATCAGACACAAACCATTTGCTTTATTCAGATCCTTAGTTTTAACTATTTACTGACATTGTAAAGAGTAAGTACAATACTGTCGCTGATAATTAGACATGATAGTCAGGGTTGATTATTTGATATCCCAATGGAGCTACATTGCCTGGAATACTTGCTCTTTTAGGTTTTATTATTCTAGGCATGTTAATTGGTGAACCATAGGTGTAATATGAACAATTTAGTGTCCCAGGTCAAAGATGTACTGTTGACTGTACTGAAATGTGACGACAGTGAGGTGTTTTCTTTATAAAATAGGCACCTAGAGGGATATTACCACTATAAAATATTAGAAGAGGACTATAAATAGTCGACCCAAAAAGTAGCACATCTCATCTTGTAATATGGATTTTCATATACACCTCATTTCTGCAGCAATTTGGAAGAATCTCCCGGTCTCCTACATTGTACGAGTATTCAATGTACCTAAATAAATGATTGCTCTGGTTGTGAGAAGGGACATCAGCCTCGTGACTTCCGAAGGAATTCGGCTTTCATCATGAGGCGTCATAACTCTTCTAAATAAAGACTTTCTGACTACCAGGGCAGAGTTTAAAGGGTTTGAATAATTTTTTGGTTAGCGTTTTGCTAGCGAGTTAGTTTTCCGCATAATGGGGTCGCTAACCCCATTCCCAATCCTCCTCCTTTATCCGGGCTTGGGAACGGCAGTAGCCCCAGAAGGGAACCAGGCGGAGTTGCATCGAATTCAGTCAAATATTATAAGTACAGAGTTAGAACATCCAAAACTACTCATAAAATACTTCTATGTGAATGGCGTCAACCGGTTTTTCCTTGTACTTATGCTCCAAGAACACCTATAACCCAATTTCCTTTCGTCCACTTCGAGAAGTACGTTTCCGTAAAGTATGTCACAGGCCTTACGATTCCAACAGTATTGGTTAGCAAGTACACAAGAATACATGTAGGCAAAGCAAAATGCAAAAATACTGTCATACCTTATCCAGTATATACATACATGGTTAAAAGTAAGTAGGACATTCGTCAACAGTGTCAAAACATTGTATCATATTTTACCTATCGAAATAAATCCTTTCAACCCATACATAGTTTTCTTTTCAATTAGAAATGTGATTGGAAGAATACTTTACGGTAATATTTTATTTTGTAGGAAAAACATACCTTACACGGACTGAAAACTGAGATAATAAATTCCATGTTTGTGTAAATATGGAGCAAATATTTGAGTGTAAGTAATTTCAGTATTATGGTAAGTAAATTGCTATAAGGATAGCCTATTGACATCTCTAACTGTGACTCTGAATGATTTGTGGAATACTACCGGGGCGCCCAGACTGAGGCGGCTGGTTTTCTTAGAATGTCATTCCCCAAGTTCTTGACCAAGAGGTCTAATGCAAAAGACAGTGAAGTAACATTAAGAGACATAGTCCCATGGTAGCCGGTGACAAACAATAGGTTCATATGCCATTTGTTTCCATAGGATCCTGGAGCTCATGTACTCCATTGTTTTGAAATCAGGGTTTTCCAGCACTCCTACACGGATAATTTATATCCATCAAACAGGCCAAAGCGCTGAACATTCGTTTTCGTGCTCTGAATTTAGTAAACAGCATACCCGCCAGGAGAATGCAGAATAACAATTCCTTTGAAGCGGTTTTACACGCGTGGCCACGTGAGGACATTACGAGAGGGAAGGGACTCTACCAAACCTTATACCAAAGATGGGTTGATCAGCAGAAGTCTATGCACCACTATCCGCATATCGATTTGGCCATCATATTTTGAACAATACGTCTATTCATACAATTCACAGTCGAAAGTTACCTGATTCATGATGCTACAAATGCAGTTATATTTGTGATAAAAGAAGTCATCTTGAATCACTTGAACACGATTAAAAAGGATTTCATCCGACTAAGAATAGTATTTTGATAGTTGTCTTATTTGTGATTAATGAATTGATTTTTAAAAAACCGAATTAACTACAAAGATCACTTTTTGTCATTGTCACTTAAGTATTACTCTAAAAATTTGTTCTTGGCAATCCCAACTGTCACATAAAACTAGTTTGAAAGTTGTGCATTATAACTTGACTAGTTGTGAATGACACCTTTTTATCGCGTAATGTTTATTTCATACATTTCACCGGCAAATTGTGAAATAACCGTTTTGTTTATTGGTCGAGACAAGTTTTACCCTGTTATGCTTGGTCATCGCTGATTGCTATGCCTGAAAAAACGCTGATCACTTATACTCGGAACGAGGGACCTCTGCAATTCCCACGACGCGAAAGTAAGAACACAAAGACTGGTATCAGTGAAGATTTATTAGTCCCAGAACACTATGATGACAACGACGACAAAATGATGATGATGATCTAGTAAAAAATACACTCATTTATATATTGATTGTACACTCATTTTGATTAATAATTAGGATGAAATCACATAATAAATCACATACTGAGCATAGTTCATGTCAATGGAATACAAGAATATCGTATATTACACAGGATAAAATATCATACGAGAAAAGAAGACAGATACTACACTGAATAAACATTACATTGAATCAAAACGGGAGTAATCTTGAACAAAACTCATAATGAGTAAATTAATTGAAAATTGACTTTTCTTTCCATCATATCAACTCTTACAGCCAATGCTGGACTAGTTACTTTTGTGTTTGTCTATGCTGAGTCGATTGTTGAAGCTGAGTTTATGAACTTGAATGTAAGTTTCGTAACCTAAAATATCTATATATTCAGAAAAGCCAGAACGTTCCTTCACCCTAATCAACATTGAGTAGGTTATATCGACTAACTTGACAACTGCATTTACGACAATTTATTTTTCAAAACCATTACAGATAAGAGAGGTCTAAAATTCGGACTAAACTATAACTTAGTACAATACTGCAAAATATAGTCAGTGTTTTCTATAGACACGACATACTTCTTTCGGTAACATTTGCTTGAGCAAGGAGTTCATAACTGAAGAGCACGACATGGAATTCGAATTAATTAGTATAAAAACAAACGCTATTTCAACACATAATAGTATCACTTTAAAGATTCGATACTGTTTACAAACTGCTAGTAAATATATACAAAATACTTTTTTATGAAAACAAATAACAAAGTAAATAATGTCACTATTGTGATAGTCCTCGTTTACTCTCACCCTTCTTTCGTTTCCCTTTGCCACGTAATTGACGTAGACGTGCCATTTCTTCACGAAAATCTGCATGTTCATTTCTAAACAAGCCTAGATAGCGTAGTTTTTGTAAAATATTACTATATTCTTCTAATGGAGGATAATAATCTTTTAAGATCATTGGGCGAGGTAATTCACTCATTATTCGAACAACTTTCATTGATTTGCCATCAACTTGTTTGCCAACATCTCTGAATATTCGTCCAGCAAGCATTGTCATCTTTTTAGTATACAATGAAGTCATCTAAAAATAATTGAAATCGAACACAAATGGGTAACAACAATAATGTTCAGTGTAAACTTAGAACACCGGTACAAACTTTCATGATTCGATTTGCTACACCTTAAACGCCATGAAAACGAAATTTAAAGCGATGTTATTCAGCCTTCACATCTGTACACTACGACTATTGTGTACATTTAAACTTGCTAATCTAGACTGGCTGACATAGCCAACTTCAAAAGTTAATGAACCGACTGATTTTATTGGATTGATTTTATTTGACGATTTGATGTGAATTGTATTTCTAGTGAATTAACACCAAATCCACCGGGATCGCACAAAACAAAAATGAAGTGAAATATTGATTCCAGAAAAATCAGAAATGGCCAAATATTTAGAATAATATTCCAATCACTATGTTAACGACGCTACTATGTGAAAAATATTTGGAGTGATCATTTGTAGCAAACATTACTTGTCATTTGCAGGCAGAATAACAGCTCCTAATTAGTAACTAAATAAACTCTGTTGTATAAGATGTCAACACTACGACACAACTCAAATGAAATGTCGACGAAAAAACTTTGGGACGTATTCCCTAATCATTTTAAGGTCTTTTAGGCCTAACTACAGTTCATAGCCATTAATGGCTACTGTATTATTGAGTTCGAAGGGTGGTAAGAATTTCTACCACCCATCGAAACGAGTAATACAGTTATAAAATAATGTAGGGACTTCGAAGACGTGAAGCATGTAAAGCGTAGCCAAACAGTATGTAGAACATACGGCTTCCAAAAACCTGACTCTATTTTCAACGGCTTCGGCTTCACATGCTTTCACCTTTTTGTTAGTGTCTTAAGACACTAACATGTAACACCTAGTGTTCCCTGTCCGGGTAAATGTAATGACTACAAGTCATTAATATTTTTACCATGAATTCCTAGTAACTTGCAAAAGCACGAGGACTAGAGATTTTATTTACAAATATAAGTAACACAAGATAAGAGCAGATCCCCTGGATGACCTTGTAAGTTGTAAACTACAGAAGAAAAGTATCTTCAACATACAACAATCAATGTATGTCATCATCGAGACGAGCTTGTTCAAAAAGGCTGGTTTCTTTGCTCTCGCCTCTTGATATTAAGATTCGGTTCCCGTTTCTAGATCTCTTTCAACAAAGATGCTCTAGAAACTTGGCTGTACTGATCCTAGTGAGAATACCAGTTGATTGGGGATCAATGAGTCTAGAGTATAAATGAATACATTTGTTCTGTAGATAGTAAAGTTTCTAGTACCGTTACCTATCGTATTACTGAGCAGGAGATTTTTTGGTTGCGACATGAGGGATTATAAAGCTAGAAAGTCGCTGAACAAAGATGGGATTGGTCCTCATGATGTACAAATCGCTAGATGAAAAAACAGTGAGGAACTGAGGTTCCTTGAAAGATCGATGACGAATATGATAAGCTTAAGCAAAACCTTACGAATTCCGAGACATAGAGGCTCCTCAAATTTATTCTACTTTGTTGATTTTAGTGAGAAATGTCCGGATGTGAAGTATATTCGTCATCAGTTTCAATGTAAAAAGCGTGAGCCTATAGTTTATGGACAAATCGATCGGATTAAGTACAGAAAGTTCCTAATTTTGACGAGAAATTGATTCATGGATGTGGCTAAATAACATCTTTCCATTGTAGATGACGTCAGTTCATTATGAAAACACTAACCATAATTCCTTACCGTAACCAACACTAAGAGCTAACCATTAACCCTCTTTTAAACCCAGTAAGCAAGTGAATTTTATCATGATCTCTTTGGTGCCTTTGACAGATCGTCCTTAAATGATGGCCTCATCGAAACGTCAGTTTTTCACTGCAGAACGTTATATTGTGGATGTAGTAAGTTTTCACGTTTACCAAAAAGTCATTCGTAGCACATCAGAGAGCGAACAACTTACATTCATAGCAGCCCTGATAAAGTAAGTTTTCGAAATAAAAAACCCCAGTGTTTAATTTCTTCTTGTTCACTTGATTTTTCACTTACTAGTTGGTCTATTTCCACAGTCACTACCGCACACATATTGTTCAAATGCAAATAAACTTCACACTGTCAAGTCGGCAAACTGCATGATAGTATGTAACAACGACAGAAAGTCTTATTTGACTAGTAAAACATTTCTCTCCTTCCAGCCTAAATCTCACGTATTTTCGCCTAATCAGCTATCAGAAAACTAAATTTCCGAGCCAATGAACTTCATCCACGAAACGTATGTATGAAAATGACATTTCTGTGCAGCAAAATAAATCACTTTCTGGAGGAGAGTCAAGCTACCATTTGACGAGCGGGTTACTAGTAGCGTGTTCTGATTGCGAACTCGATATGGAGCCATATACACCAGCTACTGTTGGAATTCCTGAAACTCTTCGTGAAGGAGTATGGGTTTCACACAAGCACTATCTATCCAATCCTTATATGAACAAACCTTTCCTGCTCTTTCCAGTTATTATTCATCCTTTTCATGTGTATTTCCGATTTTCGACGTATTGTGTTCTTCAGCCTTCCTCTCTTCCGTTCCTCTTCAGGTTTCCAAGTGTTTCAACTGGTATGTTGTCAGGTCCTACTGCTTTCCCACTCTTGATCTGCCTGATGGCCATGCTGATTTCTCCGATCAATTGTGGAGTGACGGTCACATTATTTTTATTGGTATTCTTCAATATATAATATTCAGGCAACAACTTGAGATAACGATAAGAATAGTATTAATATAATGGACTCTGATGTACGCGTACCGAATCTTAGGCGTCTTTCATTCGCGTTACGATATATTGCACGCTTTATTCGAGGAATTTCCCTAATTGGCTATTCTTCTCACTGACCCAGGTGTTTGGTACGGAACGCATACGCACTACCGCCTGCCACCCAGCATCAAATGTTTTAGTTGAACGGTTTCACCGCCGACTTAACAGTGCTCTTCGAGCACACGAAGATAACCATTGGTACGAAACCTTACTGCTCGTCCTCTTATGTATCAGGACGAGCTTAAAGGCAGATATTCAATGTTCCGCAGCTGGACTTGTATACGGCACGACATTGCGTCCTCCTGGGAAGTTTTTCACACCACGGAGCAGTAACGATTTAGGTAAATCAGACTACGTCCATCGACTGTCTGCATTTATGCAAACACTGTCTCCGGTGTCAACTCAAATACAACATCGACAGGTCGCTCTCCCTCGAGAGTTATCCACCTGTTCACATATTTTCATTCGGATAGATTCGGTAGACAAACCTTTACAACAGCCTTACGAAGGACCTTCGCATGTGATTTCTAGTCACGAAAAGACCTTCAAGGTTGATCGACATGGTCGCGTCGAGATCGTCAGCATTGATCGTCTCAAACCAGCACAAGACAATGGTAGTGCCCTACCTAATAACTTGAGAATCAATGCTAGACCCATCAAACTTACTAGCAGGGTCTCTATATCTACGTCGGATCCCACGCTAGATACACCAGAGACCTCATTCTGACATCCCAGTCAACAGCCTGTGTCATCTGCACCATCTACGGACGAGAAATCAGTCTCACGTCGAGATCAGAAGACCACGCCGCTCCCGACCTAAGATGAGATTGCAGGCTCATGAAGTACGAACGAGACCACCGTCTCACGTTCTGGTCGACGAGTACGCCTGTAGAATTATGGTCTACTATGATATTAGCACTGCTCTAATAATAGACCTAATCCTGAAATTGTAGATTTGTCGTGATGCAACTGCCCAATCTATAAGATCTCACGTGGAAGTCACATTATTATCTACACCACCGCATCGCATCGTACCAACTACCAATACATGATGGAGAACAAGCCTAGGCTAGAGATGGAACAATATATTTAATATGGATAAAAGATACAAGATAACATTCAGCTGGGACCACGCCTGGATGACCGAGCCATGCCATACGATCAACCCCAATTTATTCAATTCATTAATCCCTCCTTCTCCATTGTTAGGTATTTCCAAGCGTTAAATGTTGAATGTCTATTTTTCGTATTGTCTCGTGTTAGGGCCCAATGCCACTACACGCCTACCCGTTCGCTTTCGCGACTAACCGTGCAATCAACAGCGAACACGGTATGAGACTCTATCTCTACACAACATGCATACTACGCCTTTTTCTTTGATTTTTTTGTGTCCTGAGCCCCCGCCTTTGAACATTGCCCATTTGGTGTTGTCGACTTTGGTCAATTTTGGCGAAAGTTGGTCTGATCACCAATGTCCTAATCGACGCGCTCAGTCGGTGATCAGTTTTCAAATTTGTCTGGCAATGTTTGGTCTCGAACTTGGTTGTAATGATCGCTTCTGGTTTCTTGGTTCAACGTGGTCCCATCCTACGCCTTCAGAGCTCTCCGGTTCGGAACCCTGCAAACGCAACCCTCAGATCCTGGATACAAACCACTCTGGTGTGATACGCTAATTTGAGTAACAAATACAGCACTTTTCTCCTGGTACCGATCTACCGATCAGTAGCAACTCGAGAATCAACGATCGCTTCCGGTTCTGCCAACCCTTACGTCCTACAATCGCCTATCAGTCCCACGAACGAAACCGCTACGTATCGAAAATGTAAACCCTTTCTAGCGGGGGCTCCTGTAGTGACCTACTTTTATCAAGAGAGCGTGATTGGGATAATGGAACAAATTGTTATTATAACCAATTGTACCAGGGATTGTTTTACTGCACTTGTTTGTTTAACTGTACTAAGAACATACATTGTGACCTTTCGCGAATTCGGTTATGCTCAGTAACCACACTTGTATTCTTTCAATACCACGAGATCGCCAAAAAATACACCTCGACTACAACCATCAACTGACTTCTGACATTTGGCCTACGGGGGATCTTACTGGTTAAGTGGCATGTAGTCTTCCTGAAGTGGTGATTATGGTTAACCGCGACTCGTCGCCATACTACAAGCCTATGACCGTAAAAAACAGTATACTAAAAACAGGTAAAATGAATAGAAATTAGTGGTACCAAAGATTAGGATAAACCGAAACTAGCCTTGACTTTCAAAACTTAAAAACCGAATAGTGAGCTGAGGCAAAACCACAGTTACTACCGAACTGTTAAAACTCAAAAAGAAAAGCAATCTGCTCAATGCTCAATTTATTCGAAATTATCAAATCAAATTTTGGTAATGATACCTATATCGAACATATAGCTCAAAACATATTCTTTATATCGGTAATGGTACTTTTGTTCTCTGAGTATACAGCAAAAGTTTGAGAAATGCAAACCACGTTAGGACTAAACTTCCCGTTCGAAAAGCGTGCATGGGTACTGTTTTCAGCACGATATTTTAAAACTATGCTCAATCCCCAACTTTCGACTTCTTTTGAATCACCTCCATTATTACGATTATTTACCCACTCGTAATATGTGAGAATTGTTGTTCCTCATAACTCCATGACCAGTATACCTTAAATAATATCAACTTGTCCAAGTAACCCACTACAGTGAAGATTGTATCCCCTGTAACAATTTGATCTTGCCTGTAAACTGACATGCTTCGTGTCACAGACTTATTTGAAAATTTATTACTATTATTATAGTGCCTATGAGAAGCAAAGAAGTAAATAAATACTAAAACTATAATGTCTTGATAAAACAAAGATGTCTCTAGTTAACTCCTAGCCACAACTTAAGTTGTTGCACCAGCTTCCTCCTACAACCGACTTCTGGAAGTATATTGGCTCAACCAGCTTCACAAGCAAAAGAACTTCAGTTTGGTTCCGACAGCCTAATGGAGAAGAGGGGAACGGAGCATAAATCCCGGTAGCAAGTTCCCTCAAAATTTATATTGCGTTTCGTGAAATAATATTTTAGTTGAGCGAACCACAACTCGACGTCGCTACGATCGAATTCTAAGAGTCGGAC